TTTGGCATTTTGCGTTGATTCGCTTAGATGTTGGTTCACTTTCAAATTGTTGCCACCAAATATTAAAGCCCTGTATTATATTTAAAGAAATTAATAATAATGAAGAATCTGCATGGTGTATGTATGTTTCTCGCACTGTGAAAAAACAACAGTACCTAGAGCCATCAAAATTTGAATAATGTAATAAACTTTCATAGAATATGGGCGTGTATCCTTTGGGATACCCTATAAAATCCTTTCAGATTTTATTTATATTTTAAAATTTATTTACTAAACTTGCACGAAACTATACATAAACAGTAATTATAATGACTAAAAAAAAATACCCATTTATATTTATTTTCTGTGTGAAATCTAAACGTCTGGCAACCACTTTGATAGTTACTCTTTGTAATTCAAGAATATTGACAGCTAAATGTTAAATTTTCAGACTGATATTTACTTTGAATAATTAATTAGCATATTTCATTAATCATTTAAGTACCTTACGTAAAAAAATTAAGAAATCATATTAAGTGGAACAAAACTTAAAGTAAATTTGACAACATATTCTGTTTTTACTTCCTTGTACGAAGTAAAAAGGAAGTATTGTAATCGCGAAAAGTTTCAGGCAGCAGATTTCAACGAAAATATCCATTTTGACCGCTATCGAATGCAATTTAACGACGTTTTTGCGTGATATCTGTACGTAAGGGCAGAATAAAAGACTCTTTTCCTCCAAAAAAATTATAAAACTGCTTTGAAGAGAATTTTTCGTGGCGTCTGTACGTACGTATCTCGCATAACTCAAAAAGGAGTAGCCTCAGAACGTTGAAATTTTGTATATAGGACTGCTATAACATGTAGATGTGCACCTCGCATTTTGGTTGCCATCGGCCGCACCAACGTATATAAATATATTTATATATATATTCACTCTGTTACCCGGCGCAGTGATCTCACAGTTTCTTTACTCTTATATGTTTGTAAATGGTACATTTTTTTGCTTTAAAAATTATTTAATTATGTTGTTCTTATCTTCCGGCTAAGGGTTTTATGCCTTTTGTAAATCTGTATGCAATACTTTTAGAATTATCAACAATTTGAAAGTTGTTTAAGTGCCGCTAAGCATAATAGTTTCTTTGATGGCTGCCATTGCTTGTTTACATTTGAAACAGCAGGATAGTGGATTTGTTGCCAATCTAGAGAAACGTAGCTTCGCAACAACAAAGATAACGCCTTCATTTATTATTGCGAATTAAATCATGCTTAATCCTTTCTGGAACTTTTTCGAGGAAATAAGTGTTTAAAATTTACTTCGTAATTTTTAATACAGATATTTGAGTTTTTATGTATTTTTGCCGTGTCGCGAAGTGAGAACTGAATTAATTGAATGAGAAATACTCAATCGTCTGTAAAAAACTGTTTCTTTTTGGGTTTGTTTGCTTAATTTCTTTTATACATCGTTCTAGATTTAATATAGTATTTGAATAGAACATGTGGCAACGATTAGATAATTCTTTAAATGATATAAATATTGTGCATTCTGAGTTATAATATAAACGAAATATAATACCGTTAAGTGAACTTAGCACCAGAGTGTCGCTATGGATGGTAAACAAATAGAGTGAATTTTAAAGAATGCATTTATTCTATTGTGGTTTATGCGTTGTCGGCGAAGTAGTTTTAATTCAATCCAATAAGTTTAAATGAAATGCAAGAAAAAATGCGTATAATTTAATATTCCGTACAAGGAAGTCATGTGGTGTACACATCAGATTTTTTTATTTCCTAAATTTTTCGATGACGCAAACAAAATAAACACACACCCAGATATATATATATATCAAGCAAGGTAGTAATTACAATTTTGAAAAACTAATTTTGGTCTAGAAAACAACTTGCGCAATATGCTGCAAAATAAGTAAAAGTAGATTTAAGATGTTTAGGTATAGTTTAACATATTTTAACACCTTAATGTGTCATTTTGTGCGGACGCGTCGGGAAATTGGAACCGAGAATTGAGACTATTAAAATTTCCAAGACACTTTGTCTAAATTTTTAAAAATTTTTGTAGCGTAAAAGTTTCAATTGTCTGTTTCGGCGAAACGCGTAATGGGGTTAGCTTGATTCGACGTTCAAATAAATTAAATTTCCCTTGAAAAGCCAGTTTGGAAGTCGAGGTGGGGTAATATACCATTTTCCGCTTACCTTTTTATCTGATTCTGTTTTTTAATGTTTTACATGTTTAATGGTTTGATTTTCATATGTATTAATTTTTTTAAAAACGTATTGAACTCTTTGGAGCAGCAGCTCTTGGTAACTTTTAGGCGAGCTTACTACATCTTTTATATATATATATATATATATATATATATATATATATATATATATATACATATACAGAGGGCGTTCACACATTTTTGCAACGAATTTGCAAAGATTTTTGTATAAACAAACCTTAGAATTTTATTTTCTAATATGTCCAGTTGGATAGGCCTTTTGTTGAACTAGCATATTACATGTTGATTTCCAAGGTAAAAGTCCTTTTCTTTAAACATCAAAGTTGATTTAATTCCACTCCTTCAGTCTTCCAGAGTCCATCCAATGTTTCGGGATGGCGCTTATAAAGAGCTTGTTTTAAAAATCCAAATGTACAATAATCCATAGGAGATGATACATCAGGGACTTGCGTGGGATGCATTTAAAGGGAATACTTTCAATTTCGGTTTTGTTTCGCCTTTTCTCAAAAAATAGACTTGCAAATTTAGAAGTAGGGTATGTAGCCTTATTCTGATGTAACTTAAAACAGTCAAGATTGTTTGGATAAAGATATGAAATTTCTTTGTTAAAAATAAATATTAAAACATACTTCTCATAGTAAGAGTTAATTTTGACATTTTTTTCTACTTCCTTTATTTTAAGTTTTCCGTTATAAAAGAATCCAATAATAAGCTTACAACCTTTAGAAAAACTTTGCTTGTTTTCTCTGAATCAACATATTCTTTTTTCTCCTCTTTTTCGGTAGTACATCGATCTTTCTCTAATTGCAATCAAATAAGCATACCCAAAAAAATAAGCATACAAATCATCAATTGTTGTAACTATATATTTCCATTTTTCATGCAGAAATCTGCACAGTCTTACGCCGAGAAACACGTTTCGGTGTTAGGCAATGAACATCATTCCTGATTTAAAGTTAAACAAATATGTTTTTTGTTTTGTTTAACTTGTTTAAACTTTTTGTTTGTTTTGTTTAACAAATACATTCCCTTTACATACAATGTACTCTTCCTCTGGCTATGCCATTGAGTCGATACTTTAATTTCGTGGCATATGAATGCCGTAACTGCTATGTTTGTGTCAATTTATTAATTCCACTTCCAGTCCGTGATTTCGTTTGAATCGAATTCTCCGTTTTTATAAATTCTGCGCCCAGGTCAAAAGGTTAATAATATTATTTCTCTCCCCTTATTATTTTTACATCGAGGATTCTAGAACTTTCTGAATTCGTACTCAAGAAAATTTAGCATTGCACCCATCTCTATCATTTACTAATATCTAGTGCACAAATAAAGTAAAAATAAAAGCACCTCCTCCTGTCAGAGGCGACGCACCAGCGGCAGAGCGGTAAAGTCCCTAAACACATCTCTTTCTTTTAGGCCCACCAGCGGCTGAGCGGTTAAGTCGCTGAACACTGGGAGTTTGGTCTGAGGTTCGAATCCCGCGAACGGGCTGTCTACATGGCCGTTTTCACGGGTTTCCCCATGTGTAACAAATATATGAGTCAGTTTCCCTGAGAAAGTCTTGCACGAAGACATCGCTACCCTTAGGCCTCGAGGCTTTGCCGTAATCAAGGAAACCAACCAAGTAGTTCGACCTGAGGTCGAATCCCAGCTAACAGGCTGGTTGCATGGTTCGTTTTCTCCACGTTTAACGCGGATGTGAGTCAGTTTCCGTTAAAATGTCCTCCACGAACGCATCCCTCCCTTATAACGCAGATAGCCACCGGGTTGCTTTTCCTTAACCAATTATTTTAACCTATCCTTTTGTTAGACATGTCCAACATCAAAGCATTAACAAAGACAAAAAAAAAAAAAAAAAAAAAAAATCCAATTTTTTAATCTATTTCGGTCATTGAAAAACTCAAAGCACTATGTACGACTCAGTAAGCAAAAGCTGAAAACTAAAACGTTTAAAAAAACTGAAAGATTTCAGACTTTATATTACGTTCGAAAGACTTTTTTTAACGTTTTGTGTGTTACCTTAATTAATTAATTAATTAAATATCATATTCTTCGCACTTAGAACACATAGAATTCAATTCAACAGTAATATCACAACATATTTCAGAACAGCATAGCTGTAGAATTTCCGATACACAGTGTCGCGCGATGGAGATAACTTTTTCCCCCCGTACAGTGTTGTCATTGCTCACTTAGAATCTTTGAGTTGTTAATCAAGAATTCGTTAATGTTTTACAAAATTTAATAAAACAAATTCAAAATTCGAGGTTCCAAGTGCCCATGTTCGGTTAGAGGACTACGTTATTCAAAATTGGATGGCTCTAGGCACCTATGTTTCTTCACAATGCGAGAAGCATTCATGAAAATTCTTCATTATTTAATTTTTTTAATTATAGTACATGGCGATAATATTCGGTGGCAACAGTTTGAAAATTGAATCGACGCAAAATGCCGTTTCCAAATTAAAAGCCCTTCTGCGTTAATAAATAAAAACATACATTTAAATTTACTCAACATAAAAAAAAATCATACATCTAAGCTTATACTATGTATTAAACATGGGTTCTGATTTTAAAAAAATGCTAAGATGGGGACGTCAAAAAGCAGCAATAACTAAGCATTAAAGTTGCTTTTTTAAACCGTAAATTTAACGTTCCGTTCAACTAAAACCTCTTATGTCAGAATTCTAGCTATTTTATAACGACGTTTAGTACAGGCGGAGGAACTTTAACAGAACTTAGGTATTAACTTAGTTGAAATAATAGGGTAATTTACCTGTTTGGCGAAGACGGCGATATCTTCGTTGAAAGACTCTGAGGAACAGACATCACCCCCGGCTATTCCAGGTTCTCGGGGGGTGCTCGTTGCCAATTCGCACTTCTCGAAGATCAGTGCGAGCAGGGGAAAGAGCGGGTGACTGTAAGAAGAAAGAATAAGTATTTAGAAAACAAGTACACGGGTGAAATATTACACATATTTTAAAAGAGTGCTGTGGCTTGCTGCAAATTATGTATCTTAAAATTAAACTAGAAATTATGCATTTTGAAATACTATATATAAAATTACATGTGTGAAAAACAGAGCTTAAATTGCGCCGGTGGCTCCGGTACTTATTTTATGCAACTGAGCAACAAATTTCAGTGTAAATTTGATTTCGAAAATTTTATTTTTAGCAATAAAATTACAGTAAAAAATCGCTTGTTAAATTTTAATTTATCTCCTTACATTTAATTTTTTTATTATTTAATTACTTTATCCTTTAATTATTTAATTAAATAAAAAAGCTTCAAAACAATAAAAATCTGAAAGGTTTCAGATTTTAAATTACGTCCAAAGGGGCGTTTTTTTAACATTTTGTCTGTTACCTTTATTTATTAAATATCGCGTTCTTCGCACTTAAGCCATAAAATTCAGTTCAAGAGCAATATCGCAAAACAGTTTAAGATTGAGCCTATCTTTAGAATTTCCGATACGCATTCATTATTTAATTTCTTCAAATATAATGCAGGACTCGAACATTGATTGGCAAAAGTTTGAAAAGTGAAACGGACATTTATAGTGAACCAACGCAAAACGAAAACAATAGTCTTTCAGGGACAAAGCCCGCTTGGACTAATAATAAGTTAGTTTAATAATCATCAAATAATAATTAATAAATATGAATTATTAATTTCAATTAAATAATTATTAATTAATTGATTAATTTGATAATCATTAACTGTTTAATTTTCAAATTATTAAAGATTTTTAATAGTCATTTTATTTATTTATTTACTCGTTTCTCATTCCTGACGGTCTTCCATAGGGCTCCGGCTTTTAGAAATTAAGCCCTGGTGAAAATACAATGTTGATGTTGAATTTTCTATATTATTACTATGCATTTCAAATTTATAATCTCGTTTGATATCAATTCGCATTTTTTTAAATATATTTACCCAGATCCTAAGTAAAGTATTCTGCTATCTGTAAATAACTCAAATGCTCCAAACATTTAAAACTAGGTACAAAAAATACCAATTAGTTAAATTTGATTAATTTCGAGGATCATCAGGCGCAATTCTCTCTTCTTCAGGACCAAAAAGATTCTTCACGAAGAATCGAAAGCTCGAATTTTTATTCAAAATGTACACCAAACTAAGAATTATATCCTCCCTACCCTAATTTTAAATTTTTACACTGGCACGTGTCTTTACCGTTTTCTTCTCTGATGTTCTCAGAATTTTTTAGAATTGAAAATCCTAAATTCGACTGTTTCCAAGCACAAACGTAAAATTCTATCCTAGCTTCATATTTTAAATATACTGCTTTTGAACAGGGCATTTGGCCTCCCGTTGCAGTTTCAGCTGGTCCTAATTTCAGCTGCTTGCTGCCACCATAAATTCTAAAAATTTTGCTGCTCTGTACTTTTTAAGTTCTAAAAACTTTTTGTCTCCCCCCCCCCTAAATTCTACCGCAAGGTGCAGACGATTGCATTGGCTCTGACGCAGGTACTGTTCTGACTTTAACACTAACTGGCATTCCATCACACAAAACACGAATGATATATCCCACAGAACCTATTAAAAAACTTTTTATTTTTAGAGATACTGACTTTGATTAATTTTTTTAAAAGTCCACCTCAAAATATGTATCGCGCTACCTATTTTCTTGCTCGACAAAATAGTATTAAATTCCACATGGTATGCCCTAATACCCAAGGTATTGTTGTTAGTATGTTGTCTTCGTGTTCATACCGAACTTCCATAATAAAAAAAGAACAGAGGTCAACCAATGTTCAAGTGAATGAGACTTCTGAACACAGGTATTTCAACCTCGTTTTAAATCCAGGCGAATACACAGGGCATTCTTGCATTTGTAACGTGATTAAAACCCGTTTCTTTTCCTTACCTCCTCCACCAAGATAGCTTTGCTATAATCAAATTAGCCAAGCCAAAGGGGAAAAAAATTTTTTTTTAATCTGAAAGCTTTTAGGTTTTATATTACTCCGAAAGGCGTCTCTTTTTTTTAAAGTTTTGTGTGTTACCTTTATTTATTAAATAAACTTAAACCATCAAATTCAGTTCAACAGAAATATCGCAAAATAATTTTAAAATGAGTCTATCTTTAGAATTTTCGATACACAGTCCCGCGTGGTTGAGATAAAAATGCCCCCCGGACAGTGTTGCCATTACTCGCTTTAAAATCGTTGACTCTCTTAATCAAAAACTCATAAATGCTTTAAAAACTATGAAGTAGATAATATAAAAATAAAAATTTGAAAGGATTCAGATTTTAAATTACGTCCAAAGCCTTTTTTTTAACGTTTTGTGGGTTACCTTCAATTTCATGTTCTTCGCCCTTAAACCAATAAATTCAGTTCAACAACAAAATAATTTGAAATAAGCATATCTTTCGAAATTCCGATACAGAGTCTCGCGCGCGGGAAATAAAAAAATGCGCCCCCGGTAGTGTTGCCATGGCTTGCTTTTAGATCGTTGAACTTGTTAATCAAAAATTCGTTTTTGCAAAATATGAAAGAGATAATAAAACAAATTCCATATTCGGGTGGAGACGTACGTTATTGAAAATTGGATGGCTCTAAGTACCGTCGTTTTTTAACAGTGCGAGAAACATTATATTTATGCAGATTCTTCATTATTTAATTTCTTTAAATATAATACTTGGTGGCAACAGTTTGAAAAGCGAATCGGACATTTATAGTCAACCGACACAAAATGCCTAAACGAAAATAATCATTCAAGACAAATTCCCTCTTTGGACTAAAAAGCAATTCCAAATTGGGGCTTCCAGATGCCCATATTCGGTGGAAGATTACGTTATTCAAAATTGGATGGCTCTAGGTACCGTCGTTTTTTCACAGTGCGAGAAGCATACATACATTTATGCAGATTCTTTATTACTTAATATGTTTAAATAAAATGCAGAGCGATAATATTTGGTGGCAACGATTTGAAAAGTGATTCAGACTTTTAAAGTTTTCGACGCAAAATGGCAAAAGGAAATTAATAGAACTTCGGGCTAAAAAAGGCAAGCCACCGCTGCCATCACTTCATGATTGTTCTAATTCGAAGAAATTAGATTCCTTTTTAAGCCTTATGGTTGAACGTCAACACTGGTCTCTGGCATTTCCCAATTCATCTTTACAAAACACTAGCAAATGTTAAAGGAAGGCTTACAGCAAGCTTACGTTGCAACCATAGAAAGGGCATGAGGAGTAGAGATTAAATATTCTTTTACCTTCTTAAGAGATGCTACAGAGTAGCTACTTGGTCTTATTTAGATTATTTAATCACGACAAAGTACTCGAGGGCTATCTGTCTAGGGCAGTGGTCGGCAAACTTATTAGCCAAAGAGCCAAATATGAACATTACAACAATTTTTAAAAAATTGGGAGCCAAATCTTCTTGTTAAGTAAACTTTTATTACACTAAATAAAACTAAATTTAATAAATATTTATTAATGCGAACAATGTGCTTGCATCTCCTTGGAAAGTTTGAGTAAGTCAGGTTTGTATGTTGTTGTTTTTAATTTTAGGCATGATTCCAAGTTCTCATCAATAAGACGACTACTCAGTTTACTCTTGATAATATTCATGCTTGAAAAAGAGTGTTCGCATATATATGCAGAAACGAAAAGGGAAAGAACAACAAACACGAGCTTTTTCAGCTGATCGTAAGAGTCAGGAATACTATTCGAAGCGTTGAAAATGATCATGTCTTCCTTCTTCAGGTCATTCAAAGCAGACCACTTGTGTTGTGAACTCAGATCACATTTTTTCTTCTCCAATATTTCCAATTCAATATAAAGACGTTCGAATCTAGAACGACGTATCTCCTTGTTTTTTAAATCCAGCAATTGTATTTCAAAGCTACCAATGTCAATTTCAAAAGGAGAAAATTTCAACTCGGTTATCGTAGCATTAAGAGGATTTCTGACAAATGCTAAAGTTGCTCCGCTGTTTTTAAATTCATGAAACCCTGCTGAGAAATGCTTCCTTCGTATTTAAAATTATTGTTTTAAAATGGTGTTTATCAATAGAGGAATTATTTTTTTGGCGATGCTTCAGCAGGCTCGGAAAGTGAAACAATGTTTCCCTTTCACCTGTGCAAAAATGGATAATTTGTTTTCGAATGTTATTAATTCTTCTAACATCGAAAAAATTAAGTTTCCTTTCCCTTGTAGTTTACGAGTAAGCTGATTTAGATCAGACGTAACGTCTACCATGAAATAAAAGTTTTGGATCCACTGATCGTCTGTTAGTTCTGGATAGTGAATGCTCTTCTCAAGGAGAAATGCTTTAATTTCTCGAAAAAGGGACTTGAAACGTTTTAAAACGTTCCCAATTGATAACCAACGTACCTTGTTATGAAGCAGAAGATCACCGTACTCAATCTCCATTTCAAATAAAAATTATTTGAATTGGCGATGATTAAGAGCTTTAGCTAAAATGGAGTTGATAATGGTAATCACTAATTCCATAACTTTACGAATTTCTTCCGGAAATGTTTGCGCACAAAACGCTTCTTGGTGAATGATGCAATGGTAAACAAGTATCTCGTGATTAATTTTTTCTTTCAAAATAGCAACAACCCCTTTTCTTAAGCCGGTCATACTTTTGGCTCCATCTGTTGCAATTGGCACAATTTTATCGAGGGGAATATGATGTTTATCCATACACTCAATTACAGCATTGGCGATATCTTCTCCACACGTCTGACCTTTGAGTGGCAATAATCCTAAAAGTCCTTCTTTATGGCCTGAATGAAACATAAATTTTACAAAAAGTGAAACTGGCGCTGTATCATTTATGTCATAAAGATCCGTCAACTGCTATTGATAATTTCAGATCTTCGATATGCTGGGTGGTTATATTCGAACACATTTTAATTCTTCTATTTTTAATGGTTTTGGCAGAC